GCACTCTACCCAGGGGGATAGCTTGAGGCTCCGTCTCAAAAAAAAAAAAAAAAAAAGCTTATGTACTACAGTTGATCCTCGAAGAACACAACTTTGATGTGTCCAGGTCTGCTTATCCGTGGAATGTTTTCAAAATATATATTGGAATTTTTTTTAGAGATTTGCAGCAATTGGAAAGAAACTCAGATTAACCATGCACCCTAGAAATATCAAACAGAAAATTGAGAAAAAGGTACGTCATGAATGTACAAAAATACATAGATACTAGTTTACCTATGTGTTAAAGCACAGTTTGTGTTATTGGTAAGGCCTCTGGTCAATAATGACTATTAGTAGTTAATCTTGGGAGAGGCAAAAGTTACACATGGAGTTTTGACTCTATACGGGGTAAGTGCCCCTAATTCCTGAATAATTCAAGGGACAATTGCATATGATTCCATTTATATAACATTCACAAATAACAAAACTAAAAACTATAGAGGTGAAGAATAGATTAGTAGTTGCCAAGGGATGGAGACAGGAGAAGACATAACTGTACAGAGATTCACAAAGAAGTTCTTTTGTGGTGACACTACATAAAATAGCTGTCTATATTGATTATAGTGGTAGTCACAGCAATCTATAAATGGAACCAAATCACACAGAAGAACTATGTATACCCATACACACACACGGGAGGGGATATAAAAACTGGTGAAAACTGGAAAAAATGTGTAGTCTAGTTAACAGAATTGTGCCAATGTCAGTTTCCTGGCTTTGAAATTATACCACAGTTACCTAAGATGTCATCATTAGGGGAAGCTGGGTAAAAGGTTCATAAGACTCTCTGTACTATTTCTACAACCTCAATTATGAATCTATAATTATTTCAAAATAAAAAGGTAAAAATATAATTTCACCTGTTTTTTATGTGACTAGCTGAAAATTTTAAATTATATATGTGGCTTGTATCATATTTCTATTGAACACTGTTGCTCTATAGAATTCAGCATGTACATTGGAATAAACTATGGCATCAGTTACTATATGTTCCAGTCCTTGAACATCTACGATAGACTTTCCTTTCCCACAAATTCCGTATTCAAATAAATTTAGGAAACATGATAGGTTAAATATATTTACACAGATTTCTTTACAAGAAGCCTTCCCCTTTAATATGCTAATGTGTATCTTAAATCTCTGATACTTTTATTTCATAGGCAAAACTGGGGCATAGAGGGATTAAGTACACTATTTAAGGTCATATAGTTAGCAAGTGATAGAGCTGAGATTCAAATCTAAGTAGTCTGGCTCTCAGAGGAAATGAAGAGTTTGAGATTTGGTGTACTACACTATTTTTTAATATAAGGATCCTGTCAGTGGAGCTTACACTACATATTATTTTTCTAATGGTAGAGACGGATTTGTGCAGGGCTAGCTGTACTTCTCTGATTCAGTGATGCTACAACTACAAGCTTGTCTTTAACATAGTGATAGTGATAAAAAATAGGAATTCCAGCTATAAAATAGAGGCTAACGATATTTTTTAGTCTGGCAAGGAAATCTAACTAAAAGGTAACAACTAGATAACAAAGAAATATTATTAAATTTGATACTAGCATTGGGATTACATAAGAAAAATGTCCTTAATTTTTAGAGATGTATAATGACATATAGGGGTGAAATGATAGTGTTTAGGGTTTTGCTTTCCTTTTTTTTTTTTCTTTCTTTCTTTTTTTTTGACAGGGTCTCACTCTGCTGCCTAGGGTAGAGTGCAGAGGCAGGATCATAGCTCTCTGCAATCTCAAACTCCTAGGTTTAAGCAGTCCTTCTGCCTTAGCCTCCCAAGTAGCTGGGACTATAGGCACATGCCACTATGCCCAGCTAAATTTTTGATGGGGTCTAGCTATGTTGCCCAGGTTGGTCTTGAACTCCTGGACTCAAGAGATCCTCCCACCTCAGCTTCACAGAGTGCTAGGATTAGTGGCATAAGCCACCATGCCTAGCCTGCTTTTCTTATTTCGGAGAGGCACAGAGAGGATAAGAAAAAAAGATAAAGGGCCAGGTGCAGTGGCTCATGCCTATAATCCTAGCACTCTAGGAGCCTAGGTGTTTGGAATGCCTGAGCATCACAGGTTCAAGATCAGCCTGAGTAGAGCAAGACCCATCTCTAAAAATAGCTGGGTATTGTAGCGGGTGCTTGTAGTCCCAGCTACTTGGAAGGCTGAGGCAAGAGAATTGCTGGAGCCCAAGAGTCAGAGGTTGCTGTGAGCTACGATGCCATAGTACTCTACCCTGGGGCAATAGAGTGAGACTCTGTTTCAAAAAAAAAAAAAAAAAAGAAGGAAGGAAAGAAAAGAAAAAGAAAAAATGACAAGACAGACAAAGCAAATATATTAAAAATTTGATAACTGTTGGATGAGAGGGTGATGGGTAGTTCATCATACTATTCTCTATAAATTTGTGTGTAAGATTTTTCATTAAAAAATGTTAAGCTCGGCTCGGCACCTTTGGCTCAAGTGGCTAAGGTGCCAGCCATGTACACCTGAGGTGGCAGGTTCGAATCCAGCCCCAGCACACCAAACAACAATAACGGCTACAACCAAAAAATAGCCAGGTGTTGTGGTGGGCGCCTATGGTCCCAGCTACTTGGGAGGCTGAGGCAGGAGACTTGCTTGAGCCCAGGAGTTGGAGGTTGCTGTGAGCTGTGATGGCATTGCACTCTACCCAGGGTGACAGCTGGAGTCTCTGCCTCAAAAAAAAAAGTTAAGCTTGGGCAGTGCCCGTGGCTCAAGGAGTAGGGCGCCAGCCCCATATATCGGGGGTGGCAGATTCAAGCCTGGCCTGACAAAACTGCAAAAAAAAAAAAAGTTAAGTTATAATGCCTCAGCACCCGTAGCACAGTGGTTATGGCGCCAGCCACATGCACTGAGGCTGGCAGGTTCAAACTTGGACCAGGCCAGCTAAACAATGACAACTATAACCAAAAAAAAAGAATAGCTGGGCGTTGTGGTGGGCACCTATACTTTTAGCTACTTGGGAGGCTGAGGCAAGAGAATCCCTTAAGCCTGAGAATTTGAGGTTGCTGTGAGCTGTGATGCCACAGCACCCTACTGAGGGTGACATAGTGAGATTCTGTCTCAAAAAAAAAAAAAAAAAAAGTTAAGCTGTATGTTGTTAATTGTTCTTTTTCCAAACTCTTTTCAGCATCTGTAATTTGTAACTGTTAGAGAGAAAACTCAAGTTACTACTTCAAAGTAGATTATAGGTAATAATAGCTAAAGTAAAAATTGCTTTTAATTTACTGTCCTTTAGATATATTTTATCTTCATTATTCACTTCATCCTGACTTCAGCAAGAGAATCAACTTTTGGAAGCATCAAATCAACAATCAAAACAAGTAGTATAACTATACTGGGTCAACAATTCTGGCCTAGTAAGTGCCTAACAACTTTTTTCACACAAGATTTTTTAAACTTTCAGAATAGTCACAATTATAATAGCAGATTTTAATCTAAACTCTGTTCACTTTTTTGGGAAATGACTGTTTCTTCTTCCTAGTTCCTAAAGAGCTTATTATCTGGATTCCTGCCATATTGATATCCTATTCTTTAATAGATAAAAGGCTTCTACAAAGGCAAGAAGAGATTTGAGAGTTATTTTCTTTGTACGTCTATTTTACCAAGTGAGGAAGGACAAAAAGAAAAAGGATCTACTATGCATACTTGTCAAGCCCTATGCTTTAGATATGTTCTTATTTATTTATTTTTACAGTTTTTGGCTGGGGCCAGGTTTGAACCTACCACTTCCGGTATATGGGGCCCCCTACTCCTAGATATGCTTTCAGATAAGGTCTTTTTTTTTTTT